TTCAAGACTGTTTTTTCCCTTATTTTGAACATCAAGTATTTTTGATCAAACCTTTTTTGTCATCAAAAGGGATACCCAAATGTCTTTCTCTGTTTTTAATTGTAAAAGGCAAGCCTTTTGCTTAACAACAGGGAACTCACTCCCTGTACATGGTCCAGGGTAAGCAACCAGCCACTCCAAAATCAAGTAGATGCTTTCATCTCATTTGGAAATATCTAAAATGCTTTCTTGCCATTCTCATTTAGTGGGTTTCAGAAGTTATGTCGCAGCTACATACAGTGGTTGTTGTACTGCAAAGCCATTAAAACTAAAGCCTAACTTGTCATTTGGTTAAACTTATTCAAAAGTAATTATTAAAACATGAAAACTGCATTTGCCACCAAACTGAAACACTGTTCTTCCATCATAAAATGGTATGGTTAGCTGTTTCGCCCCAGTCAGTGCTTAGCCTATCTTAATCCTTAATTTTAAAAGGACTGGTAACTATGACATAACCATATTTTAAAATGTAGCTTAAGATTCAGCAATACTTCCAGAGAAATTATATTATTACGTGTCTAAATATTTTGTAATTCTGGATCATGCCAGGTTTAGAAGCCAACTTCTCTGAAAATGATATTCATCATTTATTATAGAGAGATAGATAGTTAGAAAGCCAGGATGGATGGATGAATGGAGAGATGGAGGGATGGATGGATTCAATTTTATATATCTACATATTATATTTTTTCTCTGCATTTTCGCCAAACCTTCTTTAAGATCCTCACATCCCCCCTTCCCACTGCAAGGCCATTCTTCCTCCTTAGGATGTTCTTTTCTCTCTGATACCTAGGAGTTATTTCTACAGAGAAGCCTTCCTCACCTACAGAAGATTGATCCCATATCCTTATCATATGTTCTCATAGCTTCCTATACTTTCCACAATTATAATTAAAATAATAAATTTTGTAATCAGCCTTTTAATGTATTTCTTCTCCACTGCAATATAAGCTCCAAGAAGATAAGAACCATAATGGTTCACCACTGTACGTTCATTAATTAATATAGCATCATACACATAGTGAGAAATCTAAAAAGAGTTCTCACATTCCAAGGCAGGTTACTATGAAGCATACACATTTCCTTTCCTTAGAGAAACATATTTTCTTTTGAGTTTATAGAACATTTAGTCTTAGGGAATAATCACTGGAAATTTCTATTCTAAATGAGAATGATACTTTCTTTGTTCTAAGTGGTGATAAAGATAGCTAGTGAATTTTTTTGAGGATTATAGCAAGTGATTCTATTTGTAATTTCTAATCCTCCCACTACTTTCCCCTTCCCCCTACCCTGAATTTTAAGTCAACTATCCTTGATCCATTTTTCAGTGTATTCCTATAATTACTCAGTAAATTATTTCTGGTAATCTCATTTTTTCACTCCCAAGTATGAGGTGTGAAATTCTATTATACGCTTCATACTTGTAAAAAACTCCACCAAAAGAATTGATCCAGTTCAGTAGTATTATTGCTTGGCCTGTGTTTATATTTGCCTTAAGAATAACATACTGGTTTTTAAGTACCTCTAGAGAATAATGTTGGGCAATAAGGAATTTGAGATTCTACCTACAGATGATATGGTCTGACCAACTAACAATGTTGGACACTGCTCTTTAAACGCAAGTTTGATAAAGGAATAGAAAAACAAATTCTATTATTTGAACTGTAACCTGGATTTCTGTTGTAAATATAATAAAATCATATTGGCTGTCTAGATTGAAAAAATCTGTTTATAAATCTTTGCAACACCTATGTGGATATACCCACCCAGGCAATACATCTGTTCCAGTAGGAAACAATTCTAAGGGAAGAGAGATTGTCCCTTTCACTACATTCTTTTAATAAATATAACATCCCATATTGAGGAATTCTCTGCAAGAACTGTTCATCAGTGAGCTATTTGCATTTGAGATATGGAGTTATGGCTGAGTAATGAACCCATTTGAAAGCTTTTAAGATCTTGCTCAGAGGACTCTGGAAGACAGGTGAAAGTAGTAGTGCCAGTACATACTTGGTAGGGATCTCCTCATTCCAGTTGTTTGGGTCTTTTTGGATTTGGGTAGGATTGAGCTGAATTCTTGCAAATAAACACGCTCCATCTGCAAATAGAATTTTTTTACATGCTTAATAAAAAATAAACATTTTTACTACTACTTCTTTTACTACTACACATAGCCTTACTGATAGAATCGAAGCTTTAAATCACATCAGTGTGAATCAGCATAAACTATTGTTAATTAAGCTTCAAACAGTTGTTTTTGCAACCCAGGTTGAATCCAAACCAAAATTAAAAGAGAAAAGAAGGGGAAAATCAATTTACGTTAACATTATTAACGCACAGATAGTGACATCTTTATATGTTATTGAAAGTGTTTTATTAAAAATCTTACATACTTATTAATATAATTCTGACTTCTGCTCAATCATATATAGTAGGTGGTATAGGTACGTAAAGACATACATTGTAGCACATCTTCAATTCCATCACACCTGATTTTGAGTCACAGATCTACAATTTAATAGTTGTGTGACCCTGGGTAAGTTACTTCATCTATTTGACTACAGTTTTCTCAACCTATGGAAATAGATATAAATTTTGTCTATCTTACAGGATTTGAGTGAAAGGTAAAAATAAGACAATTTATGTAATGTTTTTAGCACAGTATCTAGCACACAGTAGTTACCCAGTGCATGTTTATTAATAGACTATTTTATAATTAAAATTTTAATGAAATAAATTTTTAATCTGTAATCATTCATTTAAGCATACTTAAACATTTTGGGGAGAATGAGAATTATATGTAATAAATGTTAGAAATCTTTGTAGTAGTGATGTACCCTTAATAAAAATACTCAATAAGTAGATAATTAGCCTCAAATTGAAAATATTTAATGAGTTTTTACATAATTTTTCAGTTCACACTTGAAATATCATGATCTAATGTAGAAAAATATGAATGTGAGTTAAATTACATGTGAGTTCTTAAACACATAATATACAAATTTGGCTAAATTGTTAATTCTACCTAGAAAAAAATTTTTATATATATATACACACATAAATTTATATATAAATATAATAAATATATACATAAATTTGTGTGTGTATGTGTCTATGTATATAAATTAATGTGTGTATGTGTGTATATATTTATATATATATAAATCTATTGCCCAGCGTTCATAGCTTTGGTACACAGTTTCTTTGAGGACACAGCCACAGCCACCAACACCTCCTCTGTGGAGGCTCATCTCTTGAGTCAAAGCTCACTAACCAAAAACATTTCTATGTATTTCTGGGTTTTGGCCGACATTTTTACTTTAAGATTTTCTTCTCAGGTGTATCTTTTTAGGATCCTTAGCAGCTGTGCAAATTGGAATCCTAACCTTCTTTTTCTCATAGGATCTCGCTGGAAAGCTATGACAAACCTAGAGAAACAGCCATATTATGAGGAGCAAGCCCGTCTCAGCAAGCAGCACCTGGAGAAGTATCCTGACTACAAATACAAGCCCAGGCCAAAGCGCACCTGCCTCGTGGATGGCAAGAAGCTGCGCATTGGTGAATACAAGGCAATCATGCGAAACAGGCGGCAGGAGATGCGGCAGTACTTCAACGTCGGGTATGGACCGTTCAGTGATTTTTTCTAGGGAAGATCCTGTTACACCGAACGGGATGTGGAACATATTTGTTTAGTTGGCAAAGCAGCATTTTGAAAAAAGAGAACCTGAACAGAGTGTATTTTCAGAGAATCAACTCTCCCCCACATGATCCTGGAAAAAGAATACATCTAAGTGAATTTGCTCCAAGCTTCTAGAACAATGGTTCCAACGTGAGCTTTGTCAGTGACTGGTTTGAAAATCCAGTATCTGAAAGTAAATAATTTTGCTAATAAAAATTTAGATGTATACTGGTTCTTTTCCTCATTGGCATTCATTACTTCTAAGGCTTCACAGAGAAGAATGCCAAAACATGTAGCTATTTAGTTGAGATAATACAACATACAAATGATGTCAAAAGAAACACTTGTTTCTGAATATATAGGGGTATCTGGGTGATCAAGACACATGTGTGACCTTTGTAGATCACAAAAAGTAGGGATTCTATTTAGGGAACAAGGTGTGACTATGAAAGTTCCCTTCTGAATTAAGAATGCAGCTCTCCGGATGTTTACCCTGCTTCCTACAGCAAAGCTGTCAACCTTGTCAAAATACATTGCCTGCAACCACATCGCTTCTGCAGAATTTTCTCAAAAAACGCAGAAATAAAGTTGCTCGTATTTGGAACGGAAGTTAGTAAGATCCCGAGATCTTCTTAGAATAAATACTGTTATGAAAATGTTCAGAGGATACCTAAGGAAAAACCTTTTCAAATCTGCCCCATCCCCTCCAGTCCCTTGAAGGAGTTGCCCTGTCTGTTCAGGAGTTTATGATTTAATCCCAGTGCATAGCACTGCTCACGGCTGAGAACGAAACCTGATACTTCTTTGGGAAATAGTGAACATATGGGAACCCTAATACTTTAGGATTTTTCCATTAATATTGAGTAGTCTTTAGGCTTAATTCTTTTTTAAAAAAAAGTTTCTGCATGTTATCATTAAGGAAAACTAAACTTGGGGTCAAGAACGTGGGTTTTTTTGTTTAATCTTTCTGTGCCTCAGTTTTTCCCCATAAAGTAGCATAAGTAACGAAATAATTATTTTAAGAATCAAATAGCTAGTATCTATGTCTTGAAATCTCTAAAGTACTATACAGAAGTAAAGCACTGGAATCAAAGTAGTATGCAATTTTTTAAATGTTGGGCAATAGGGCAAAAATCATTGCCTTCGTGTTGGACATACTAAACAAATTAATTACCTTGTAAGGCCTGCATCTAACTACTCACTCACCATAATCTCTTTTTGGAATTCCTCTCTGCCAGGCAACAAGCACAGATCCCCATTGCCACTGCTGGTGTTGTGTACCCTGGAGCCATCACCATGGCCGGAATGCCCTCCCCTCACCTGCCCTCAGAGCACTCAAGCGTGTCCAGCAGCCCAGAGCCTGGGATGCCTGTCATCCAGAGCACTTATGGTGTGAAAGGAGAGGAGCCCCATATCAAAGAAGAGATACAGGCTGAGGACATCAATGGAGAAATTTATGATGAGTACGATGAGGAAGAGGATGATCCAGATGTAGATTATGGGAGTGACAGTGAAAACCATATCGCAGGACAAGCCAACTGATAAGGGTCAAAAGATGTTGTGACCTTAGGACTTAAAGAAGCCCTAGCTGGTTCATCCTTACCAGTGGCCAAGCACATTGACTTTCTCATACACTGACTGTTACTTTAACTGTTAGTCTTAAATAGTTGGGACATCAGCTGACTAATAGACCTCAGCCTCAAAAGGCTTGGAAAGAAAAAAAAATACAACAAGCAAACAACAATATCAACAACAAGAGATTGAAATAAGCTATGGGTAAAATAATGCCAGTAATTCAGCTGCTACATCCAAGCACTGAAGTCTTACCCGTCAACTTTTTTTTTTAAATAAACTTTATGGCTGTTTGTTCTACAATGTTCTAGAAATTCTCACTCAGGTACACAGTGCCAACAAGTGGCTTGTGAATGTGTTTTGTTGTTTTGTGCTACAATTTTTAAAAAATAAGTTTTTTTGTTTTGGGGGGTTTCTGAGGTTTTTTTCCTTTGTCATTCCTTCCTTTTCTGTTTTTTCTTCCTTTTCTTTCTTTTTTTTTTTTTTTTTGTAATGCACCTGACAGAAAAAAGAAAGATGAATTTCTCTTTACTTCTCTCCATCTTCTCCATCTCTATACTTTAAAGATGGAAGTCTGTGCATGGGGTGGGGGGAAGAGGGAAAAAGAGCCTGTTTTTAACTTCCTTGTTATCCATCACAAAATAAGCAGTTATTTTCTTTAGAGGACTTTCTTTATCTGTTGCACACCACACTACATCTTTGAGCAAGTGCCAAATTTGTACTGAAGTGTTGACCCAGTTTATTTCTTCCCTTTCCTTTTTCCTGTTTCTTCTTAAGTTAGGACAGTGTTATATCTTAGACAATCCCTTGAAAAACCTGAAATACCAGCAGCTGGTGAGATTTGACTTTTTTTTTTTTAAATGGAAACTGTAGGTGCTGTTCTCAGGTGAAAAGAGAGAGAGAGACATAAGAAATTTAGAGAAAAATATTTTCTGATCTTGGATTTCTGTATGTATGTATGTGTGTGATTATGGTACTAATAGAAATAACGTTGGACCATTGTGAGTTAAACCCACATCTGGGGATGAAATCCCACATCCTCCGAAGTGACTGGTCTGGAAGCAACCTTGACCTTGACTTTGCACTTCAGATGACAACTTAACCAATTTAGGGCTCAGAAATTATATTTTTAAATTTCTAATATGATTATTATTGGATGAATCAAGTGGCCCTGTGTAATATTGATATGTGCATGTATAATGTGGAAACTACTAGCAAAACTGCTGCCAGACATCCCTTCTCCCTGGTCAGTTGTTTTCACTAACGTTTGCTACTTAATGATTTGTTTGTTTTTCCTGTTGATAACTTTAAGCAAATCAATTGTCGTTTTCCTTGAATATATTTGGCCACTTTCCAGAAATATAGAATTAGCTTATTTCTTCAACATTCCATCCTCTCCTGATCAAAAAATAGAACTGATAATTTCATAAGGTATTTTTTATCTCTCCATTAAATGAGGTGGAGGCCATTTGCATTTCAGAATTGTAGGCCATGTGCATCTTATGCCATAAAAAGCAGGATTTGATTAAAAGTCATTGCAGCCCAACAAAATGGAGCCTGGCTGAACCCAGTGACCCTTGCCATGACTCTTCTCTTGCCGTAAGATGAGTCCCCTGGAGTCTGTGTTTGGGTTCCAGCAGAGTATGTGTATAGAGCAACAACTGATGGTGACGAGACTGCCCATTTAAATTTTGTCAGCCAAATGCCAAGGCAGTTGTAGGGTTTGTACAAGTGAATGCAAAATCATTTAAAATCAATTGCCATTATCTGTGCTGAAGCATCAGACAATAAATACTCCAACCAGTAGCTTGGATGTGCTATGGTTTTAACTCCAGTCATCATTTTCCTATATCACCCCCCTAACCCAATCACAAAATTTGATTTTTACACATGAATAAGAAATAAAATCATTTTTATTTTTCTCTCTCTCAAAAGTCTTGCTCTGGGGTTTTGCTTGGAGGAGCTGATCATATCCTGCATGTCAGAGATTTTGTTTTGTTTGTTTTTCTGTTTATTTTTGATGACTGTATTTTCATTTGAACTGCCTCTTTTTGCTAGTGTTGTAATAATGATGATGATAAAATAATAATAATAGTAATAATAATAATAATGGTCAGCTGTTCCCAGATTAGTAAGTTATGTATAATTTATTTCTCCCTTTCTATTTTATTCTGCTCTGATTTGGAAGTGCAGCCAATAAGCTTAGATATTTAAAATGAATTTCCATCTCCAACACATATATATACACATATATAGGTACATACATATATATGTGTATGCAAACACACACACACACATATTTACCCCACATAATTTTACTTCTTCTTTCATAAGTTTTATCCTTTTTAAAAATTTGACCCCAAAAATGTCAAATTCTGGTGTTTAATACAAAGGAGTGAATTAATAGGAGAGTTGTGTTCAATCTTAATTAACTTATGCTCTTATCAGTCATTTTAGTTATTTAATTGCCACAGTCGTCTAGAGCCAATTTTTTTGGTTTGTTTTTGTTTTGTTTTTAAGCACTCTGGATAAGAAAAAAAAATAGACACTTGTTTTTATATCGTTATTATGTACAATGTGAAAACAGATTTTTAAAAATTTGTTCTCTGTCTTCATTAAGAAATTCTGATTTATGTGGGTTCATCCCTCACGTTTGCTGGATACTTATTTTACACCATTTTATAAAGATACTTGGTTTCCATTTCATGACTTTGGGCTACAAGAATACTTTGTTTTAGCTCCAGGTAGATGCCGCTGAGGGCATTCATGGCTGAAACCAGTTCTGACACACTTACCAGTGAATTAACAAAAAACACTTCGGTTTGGTCTTTTTTTTTTTTTTTTTTTTTTATTAAAGAGAAAGCAAAATTGTTAATGGTGACCTTTAACTGCTGATATTCAGAAGTTAATTTTATTTAGTTAAATTTATGTCACAGAGACTAAACTGTGCATGGACTGAAACAAAAAGTGAGTTCATTGCCCTGCATTATATTTTCTTGTTCTGACATCTAACTCACTGGTGTCACAATTTCTTTGCCTTAGTTTTCCCCAAAAGAAAACAAATATATATGTATGTTTAAGCATATATATAAATGTTTAAAGTGCTTTGAAGTCATTTGATAAAGGTGCTATGAATAGCAACATACTGTGTTAACACATTGCCTTTTTGGCATTTGATTGGTTTATAACTTTTGTAAAGGATTCTAAAACCTTGTATTCTTTTTGTGCCCTATGATGACCAATAATAAAATAGTAGTAATAATAAGATAGAGGAAATGAAACTAAGATCAAACTAAAATGAACATAAAGTCTCCCTCCTGTCTCCTTTCTTTTCCTACCTCCTTGTTCATGTCACTCCCTCTCTCTCTCCCCCTCCCTCCCTCAATAGCACCCGTCTCACAGGGTAGTTGTGAGAACTAAAGGAAAGAATATTTTTACACACACACACACACACACACACACACACACACACACACCCCAGTACTGAAATAATCTTGCCAGAATTCTGTTTCTTATGGCTGTTTTAATCAGTTCCTCTAAAAAGTCATGTTTTAATATGAATCTAAGAGAACATTACTAGAGAAAAATAAGTTAAAGCTGCTCATTTATAAGTTACTAATAATTTGGCCAGTTACTACAATTGGATAAAATACAAAAGTATTCCTCAGTACATTTATACTTAAATTAGTTAGGCCAATTTTTAACATTTATTTGGCATCTGCAGTTAAGAGTTAACCATGTATAAAATCCATCCCAGAGAACATAATCATTATTGAAACCAAATCCTCTTATAAGGAACAAATATAAAAGACTTTTCTTTGATGAAATTATTTCAGAGATTTGATTTCTGGAGTAGACTTTTACCTTAATTTGTTTAAAAAAAATTATTTTTAACTATTTTATGGTTCGATTTCAGATATTTTCTTAATCCAGAAGTTGTTACTGTTCCCGAAAAAAAAAAACAAAAAAACCTCATATCACATTTAAAACATCAAAAATAATTAAATTTTCAAGCATTCTAGTGGGTAAATTATTGAATTGTAATAAACAACTGTATATTTACAAACAGGTTTATAAGATATTTGTCTATTGAGTTAATAGTAAAATAAAAATTATGGAGTCTGCAAGGAAAAATATGAAGCCCACTTAAAGTGGTTCAGATATCTCTTTGTCTTATAGGCCTTAGGTTTTTGTTTAGACAGGCTTTTACAGTATTTAATTTTAAAGCTTCCTATAGCTATCAGTTTCCCAGGTTGAAGATGATGTTGTGTTGAGTTTTCTACTGATTGATTCCTGTCCTCCCCAGTGTTTCTGTCACTGGTTCACTAAAACAGTATTTATATAGCTCCACTGGCTCTAAAGCTCTTAGTCCTTCTAACATTTTGGATTTTATGAGTAAAAATGGGAAAAAGTAGAAAAGAGACAATCAAATGCCTGGAGCTTAAAACAAAGTATGTGCAACCTACCATCTCACTTGAAATTTAATAAAATAAATAATTATGTAAATATAACATAGAGTTATAGATTTATATTTTGTTCATAACACATAGTGTAATATAAGTTGTATATTTTCATGTTTTTGGTTTTATGTTATCATTCATGCCACAATAAAAATAAAACAGGAGTTTATGTACTCTTAAAAAAAAAGATGTGGGTTGCCACCAACCTGTTTTTTTGTTTGTTTGTTTTGTTTTTTGTTTTTTGTTTTTGCATTTTCTTTTTTCAGTATTACTGCCATGCAAGGCACCAATAAAAACAGCAAATGTGTTCTTTACCTATTATATTGTGTTTCTTTTCACAATTCTTGTTATGAAGTTAATTATTAGTTTTATTATGAGAAAAGCAAAAAGTATGGAAAATAACAATTTCGTTTTCAGTATAAATAACCCTACTTTCTTGAACTGAAAACTAAGGGTGGACATTCTGGGAAGGACAGCCAGAACTTGTTATAATACATCTCATCAGACAGGGATCTAGCTTCATTATAATGTCAAAAGATATCCCTCCTTTATGTAATTGAGTCAATACACTGAAAAATCATACAGCCGGAAGCACCCTTCATGTTGTTTTCCCAGGCTTGATGCTACTATTGGGATGAGATTTCTATACTTCAGAATTGTCTTTCATCCTGGTGTTTGTATAGAAAAATTTTAAATTTTAGATTATGAAACTACTAATAACAATAATTTTTAACTTGCTGGTGTCTAATTTAGAATAATGAATATTTCTAAGTCATTTAACACTGATATTAGCCTCTGGATTCTACCTTCAACTTTTTAAGTGAATGTTAAACACAAGTAGTC